TATTTGAAATCTGGGATGCATTTACATTTTCAGCATATTACAATTTGGACAAATCACATTTCATGTGCTCAATACCTATATATACCTAGTGGCTACTGTAGTAGACAACACACACTGGCAAGTTCTCAGCACAGGAGTGACGTCATCTGACCTACATCTTAAATAGACTTTTTTGGGTCTCCTTTTCACATGTGAAATGAGACTACTAACTTCTACCTTACAGAGGTTTTGTGATGAAACACAAGAGGCAAGTCCATGACACGTAAGTAATCAATAATACTAGTTCTCTTTCTCTTGCTACATAATGGTGTATTAGAAGCTAAATGTGCTTTATAGGATTTTAAACATCACTCTGACATGAAATTAGAACTTCATAATAATTTATAATTCTGAGCATTTATGAGCTACAAATTGTGCTATAAGACTGAATATACAAAGATAATCAAATTATGCTATACCAGCCACAATAAACCTAGTGGAAGACACAAACCTAGTGGAAGACTCCAATATGGTGAAGTTTTAACAGAGTTAAGAGTGTATGAAGTAAAATGTGAACATTCTCCACCAAGTAGTTAAAACTTACATAAGCCAAGGTATATTACATATAAAGTCTTTTATTTACCAAAGTCTTGCTGTAATTTTTGGCCAAATACTAAACTAGGCCTGTCTAAAAAAAGCTGTGATCAATATAGGTAAAAATCAATAATGCCTTATAAAGTAAAATACTGTTAAGCAGTGGATATAAAAACTAATAGACATAATTATTTCTATTTATAAATAGAGGATTCATAGACAAATAAGAACTAATACCTTGATCCAATATCCTACACTACACATATGATGTATGATGTATTAAATGTTTATCATACATGTACATTAAGGGGACTGTCTTAATGTGGGCAGTGCTTGTAGGCTACCATATTGACAGAGACAGTTGTCTCACCCACAATTTCTTAGTATAAATTTAACTGACATTCCAAATTGTAGACAGAATAATTTAGCAATATGAATTAAAGTCTTAAAATACTTATTAGTTTTTCCCCTATCTCATTTTGGTAAGATAGGATGGGAAAAAAGAATTTCTGCACAAATATGCTAACTAAAATACTGTAACTGTTAAAGCTCTGGAAACAACCTCAACGTGCAGTAATCAGGAAACTGCTAAATTAACTATGGCAACTTTATAAAGTAGTACACTGGCCTTAAACTACAGTTTTGAAGTCTGAGTAAACCAGGAAAACGTACGTCACATTCTCCCATGGAATATTCACAGTATGACTGCTGAAACATTCTTCAGTTAAATAGAAATGAAGGGAAAGAACAGTACCATGATGTAAGCTAATAAGCATATAAAGGAACATTGAACACATTTCCTTTTCTGTATTTCTCTGAAAAATGTGAAAAATAAGAATAAACTTGTATTACTTTCATTACACTAGAAAACAAAGGAAATCACAAAGATTTTGACAATGGACAAACTACAAGAAAGTACAAATAGTTTCTTTTTAAAAATAACAATGTTGTCACCTAAATCTATAAGCAGTAATCTAAATATAAAATGAGAGTAAGTATTCATTTATGACATGGAAAAACCATATACAGGAAGAAATCCTTCCAGAGCCCCCCTGGCCTATGAAATGAAGTGCAGAATTTATACTTAAGGAAATGTCTCTAGCAGTGCTTTCCACATTTTTAAAATTCCTTTTTCTAAATTAAGTAATACTTGCTCATTGTAAAGGAATCTGAAAACATACAGATAAAGGACATTTTTGATATTAAAAAGTACTTGCCATCCAGAAACAACTACTCTGAGTCACACACCTATATGCCCCCCACACACACACCGAAATCAGTTCCATCTTTAGGTCACCTATATACTGATGACTTCTGAATTTCTATATTGAGACCAGACCATTCAGTAATTCCAGATATAAATTTAATTCCCTCAACTATAATTTGATACCTTGAACTGACATCTCAAATTTCACATGCCCCAAACTAAATTCATCTTCACCACCAAACCTGCTCCTTCTGTGACTATACCCATCGGTACTGGTTATATACTGCTTCCTAACAAATTTACGGCTCTAGTTGGTAGGCCTCGGAGCCATGAAACATGAATCTTTCCTTAGGGCCAACATAGCAGCTGGCTTCTCCCCAAATAAATGATCCTAAAAGAGAGAATAAAGAGAGGGACACGATGTCTTTTATTACCTAGTGTTGAGTCGCACAACAATCCTGAGCACAAGCAAGCTACTAAGTCAAGCCCACATTCAAAGGAAAGCAAATTATGTTCCTCCCCATAAAAAGAAAAACATGACCCCCCCCCATCACGGGAGCCACACAGAGCCTCAGACAGCTTTGGGAACCTTGGTAATGACACAGCAGTAGGCAGAGAGTTCATGAAGAAAAACCAAACTGCACGGGAAATACTTCAAAGAATCAACAACTGGGATCTCAACTTACTGAAAAGTTTTTGCACATCAAAGGAGATCAACAAAGTAAAAATAGAACCCAGAAATCGGGAAAAAATTTTAGCCAACTGTCCCTCAGACAAAGGACTTCTATCTAGAACATACAGAGTTGAAAAATGGGCATCTGAGATGAATATGCACTTCTCAGATGAACAAATACAAATGGCAAATAAATATATGAAAAAATGTTCAACATCATTGGTCATTCAAGAAATGCAAATTAAAACAACACTGAGATTCCATCTCACCCCAGAAAGAATGGCTATCATCAAGAAATCAACCAGTAACAAATGCTGGAGGGGCTGTGGGGGAAAAAGGAACCCTTCTCTACTGCTAGTAGGAGTGTAGACTGGTGAAACCACTGTGGAAATCAGCGTGAAGATTCTTCACAAAACTAGGATTAGAGGTCCCACTCAATCCAACTATTCCCCTGCTGGGTATTTTTCCAGAAGAACTGAAAACATCATAGCACAGTGACATATGTGCACCCATGTTTATAGTTGCGCAATTTGTCATAGCTAACTCTTGGAAACAACCGAAATGCCCATCAACTAAAGGAATGGATAAAAAAGATGTAGTCTTTTTATACAATGCAGTATTTATTACTCAGCGCAAAAAAAAAAAAAAAAGATAAACTCGAGATTTTTATAGGTAAATGGATGCAACTAGAAACCATACTCATATGTGAAATAAATCAGACCCACATGTGTAATCATTATATTGTCTCCCTAGTATAAGAAATTGAAAGAGTAAATAAAACCCAAAAGGTACAATAGATATTGTGAAAGGGAAAGAAACTGCTCAGAGAAGGAACAACTGCAATGAGGGAAAGGAGAAAAGAAAGAAGAGAAAAAAAAGAAAAAAATATATATATATATACAAGGATAGCTGGGATAATTGTACTGCTCATGACTAACGGTTTATTGAAAGAAACAGTTAATGCCTAAATTTTTTTTCTTGAGCAATTTTACATGCTTATATCTGGTAATCTAAACAACTAATTTGAAGACAACAATATGCAACAGAACAACCATTTGTTCAATTCCTACCATCTTGTTTAGTGAAGCTCTGTATCCTTTCCAATGTTTTTTATTATTTTTATTCTTTTTAATTATTTGATCAGTCTTGCATTGTTACATCTGGTAATCTGAGCAACTTCACTGAAAATAACAATATGTAATATAACAACCATTGTTAATTCCTATCATTTTTTCTGAAATTCTGTATCATTTTTATTGTTCTGTGCTGTTTGTTTCTGCCTTTCTTCTTATTTTGTTGGTTTTCTTATTCTCTTTAACATAAAAAAAGAAAAACATGAATGATTGTAGACATTATAAAAGCATTATAACATCTCAGTTAATGACAAATACTCAGCTCCTTGGAGTCTTCCACCCTGTTCTGTTTCCCTCTCAACCTTCAGCCAGCCTGCTAGGAAAGCACGCTGGTTCAGTCTTCAGTATGTACAATCCACCCACTCCTCTTTCCTTCCACTGTTGTTACCAAACTATCAGACGCTGAAGGACACACATATCTCTCTCTTGAATTACTGAAATACCTTCCTACTTCTATTTTTGCCCCCTTGCAGTCCTTTCTTCACACAGCAGTGTAACCCTTGAAACACTTGTCAATTATGTCACTGTCCCTACCTTCACACTTGATTTCCCTGGGTTTTTTCCCCTAGCTCTTCTCACCTAACATGCTGCATAATTAACTAAATACCTTTACTGTTTATTACCTGTCTGCTTAATAAATGCAAACTTCATTAGAATAGAAATCTTGACTTGTTCGCAACGTACCCCAAGCCTCCGGGAGAAGTTTAATGAATATGTTGCACTAATTAACATGCATAGCTTTAAAAAACTGAAATAACTTGAAACCCCTCTTCAGTTAATAACCTGTGTATGTTGAACAGTTTTTCATACCACTTTTAATGGCTAAGCAATAGAGGTCTATGGTTAAACCGCAATTTTCCCAAACAATCTCCATTCATTGGACGTTACATGCCGGCATACACACTTACTACATGACTTACTTCCTTGGGAAATATTCTAGAAGTAAAGTCGCTGGGTACAAGCATAGGTACATTTTAAGGATACATGTGTTACCCAGCTCCCACCACAACGCATGAGAAAACCCACTTCTTCACAACTTCACTAAGACAGATTGCTAATGAAACTGCGTTCATACGTACATGTAGGTTTTGTCATTAATGAGCTTCAAATCACTGCATCTCCATAGAAAGGATAATCGAAACTGCCTCATAAACTGTTGCCAGTATTAAATAATACGATGCATAAGCAAAGCACAAAGCACACTGCTTGCGCACAGTAAACGGTCAATAAAATAGTACATTTACCTTTTCTACGATTGTTCCCACTTGACACAAATCAACTGCAAAATTCCCTCAACAAGATTATAGGAACATCAGCCTACTGGTTACTTTTAATGTGGCGTTTTTTAAATTCCACCTCTTCCTTGAAGAATATATTTAATCTTGAGCATGGAATTTTAAATATGCCAAAGTACCGTGCATATAAGTGGGAGGACGACCGTGGCACCACCTGATCCTCACTTCTGCTTTCTTGGTGACAGAGGCAGACACAAACATTCCCAGCGCCGAGCACGGCTAGAGGAGCGCGGGCAAGCAGACTCCGCGCAGAGCAGAGCTGCTCCGTCCGCCCCCCGGCCGCGCGCCCAGGGAGGAAGTTTCCACAGAGCTCGCTTCCACGCCCTCGCGGCGGGGCCGCCGCGTTGGAACCAAATGACAACTTCCTGAAAGCATCCCTGGAAAAAACCACGAAGCACACAGCGCGGGCCCCCGCCTGCCTTTGACGCGTACACAGGCCGCAGCTCCCCGCCCCCAAAGCCCGCGCGCGCACACGTAGGCGCGCACACGCCCGGCCCACCCCGCAGGCCCGCCCGCCTCC